TTTCGAAAGAAGGCGTTCTTCCTTGTGAAATGAGGTTTACCGCCATCGAAAGAAAAGCCGCGTTCTTTCGATTTAATTTCGAAAGAACGCGGCTGCAGTCTAGACGCAGGTGAGGTTTTTTCGAAAAAAGGCTACTTTTTTCGAAAAAACCCCTGAGTCTGGACACAGCCTCAGTGTACTGCAGTGTAAAATTGATAGGGTTCATCTTGGGGCCATGCAGTCACAAACTAACCACGTTTGTTGAAGACAGTAGGTGACTGTTCAGACAACAGTGCTTAATTTGAAGGGAAGTGTTGGTTTTTCTCTGAGCGACTGGCTCTGGAAGTCAAGGGAGAGCCGGGCCAGTTCTTGTTCTTTGCGTGTGCAGAGTGAGGGGCACATGCCCTTTGGACTTGTTCAAGATGAGTGTGTTATGCCACACCCATTCGGGAATGCTTAATTACTTTCAGCATATTTCTAGCAGATGTCATTTTCATTGTCTCTTGCGCAGCATGAAGTTGCCACATATGCTGTGGCGAATAAATGTGTATGCCTGCAGTAGCTTGTCAAGGTTGCAAAACAGCACTTTCTGCCCAGAGTGCTTATCATTAGCTGAATAGAAGGCGGACTCTGTCCTCACATGGAAAATAACATTCTGCTTCACTTTAAACAGTCTCTTACTGCTTACACGAAAGTCTGGCCAGCGGTGTTAACTGAGTTCATGCCTGCTTTTTTAAGCCTCCCAAAAATGGTAGTTTCCTTTCCTTCTCCTATCAATTAAAAGAGTGCAGAGGTCTATCAGGAATAGTTGGAATTAGTCTATTAATCATCCTAAGATTATGAATTAACATTTTAATAACATAAAACTTAGTAGCAAAAGATCCAAAATAAAAATGTAGTGACACTGCATGGATTGGAGAATGGTTCCCTTCTGTGTCTCTATCTGGTGTGAAGCTAACAATGTATCTCAGAGTGCTCCTTCGGGAGCTGGCCCTTACGCCCTTCTTGGAGCCGAGAAGACTGGACTCTGCTTCAAGCACCACGGCCTCAGTACGGAGCACTTGCCAGCACCAACCTCCCACCAGCCACTGGTCACCATCCCTAAAAAGCAAAGAAAGGCCATGAGGGGGTTGTTCTCCTGTGTCCTATAAAAGGAAGGAAAGAGTCAGAGGGGAGAGAGACACACACATGGCAGCTCTTCCCCTCTGCGCTGTGGCCTGGCTCTGACTTAACATAAGAATGGCAAGACCAAAGGTCCATCTCACCCAGTGTCCTGTCTGCCAACAGTGGCCAATACCAGATGCCCCAGATGGAGGGAACACAACAGGCAATCATCAAATTATCCATCCCTCTGACCCATTCCCAGTTGCTTACAAACAATGGCACATATGTCATTGGTGAACATATCCTCTATGAATCTATATAACCCTTTTTTTAAACCTGCTAAAGTCCTGGTCTTGACAACGTCCTCTGGCAAGGAGTTCCACAGGTTGACTAAGTGCCAACCTTTTGCTGGTTTTAAACGGTCTACCTATTAATTTGATTTGGTGACCCCTAGTTCTTATGTTATGAGAACAAGTAAATAACTTTTCCTGATTCCCTTTCTCTACACCAGTCATTATTTTCTAGACCTCTATCATAGCCCCCCTTAGTCTCCTCTTTTCTAAGATGAAAAGTCCCAGTCTTTTTAATCTCTCTTGATAAGGGAGCTGTTCCAAATGTCTGTTAAGCTGTCGACAGGGCTGTTCCCAGAAGAGTGCGGGGCCTAGTGCCCTGCCTCCTGTGCTCCTGGCCCCATCCCTCACCCCAACACAGAGTAACCTTGCCC